CGTGTAGAACCTATTCAATGCAGAATCAGATTAAACAGTTCGTCAACGTCTTATCGTTACATTTCTTAGAAATCTGAATATTTTTTCATCATACTTATAATTCTCTCAGATAAATAAGGTTGGATTTCAGGATGCAATTTCTAAAGGCATTCCGTCTGTTGTTCGTCCACACCTGTCATCTATTCATTGTCTTTTGATTTTAAACGAAGGTGACGATCATTTCGAATACAGTTATTGCACTTTATGCATTTCTCATTATTTTTATGAAAATGATCTTCGACCTATTCCCTCATCTAATAGAAAATGGAATGGTAAAAAACAAAGTTAAACTATTTTTTCTTTCTTGCATATGTTTACTTCACCCTTTGATGCGCAAGCGACGTACAGCCGTCAGATATTAATCGAATGGTCAATAAAAAGTTTACTGCTTGTCACAGTGCATGATATGAATTTGGAAAAAATTCGATTAGAAAGAGAACTACAAAGAATTTACTGATTAGCAAATGACAACCAAAAGATAGACCAAAAGTTAGTCAAACAAGGAATCAAATCCATCCAATATCTGATGTCAAATCTTTGGTTTAAGACAATACACTAAACAGATCTGATTGCTTGGCAAAAGATGCACGAAATGCAACCTCGCGTTTTGAAAAACGATGATGATGACAAATAAATCTGACTCCTTCAATTGGCTCTTCAACGGGAATTAACACATAACAAGTAAGACGAATTAGTTTTATGGAAATTTCCCACCCATTTTTTGAGTACCACAATAATAATCTAATGACACTATTATTTTAATATTATGTGATTTTGTTCATTGGCTGAAATATTTCTGATGATATTCAGTTTTTGAAATGTTTTGTTCTTTCTCCAAAAGACTGTCATATTTGTCCTCTTACAACATATTTAAAACTCAAAAATTCTTCTTTCCAATTCCAACTCGGACTAATATTTTTGAGAATTACTTCCTGTCTCGATGAAATCCAGTGGGTGAACTGCTCGTGAATGGAAATGATACTCGGAAATGTAAAAAAGATGTTTTCCTTTTTTTTTCAGTGAGCAATCATGCAAGAACGAAACAATTATCAGATATTCCATTGTCTCATCCAAATTGAATCGTAAAATTATAAAAAAGACAAATTTATAAAAAATCGTAAACTTATTATTAGATTATTTTTAAAGGAAACAATTATTACAGTACCAAAAAAGATGGAGGAAATTAATACATGCAAAAGTGTATCGCAGCCCTCACATATAAGAATTCCTGTTTGCAGTGCTTCTAAATATTATTTCTATTAGATTTGTTTTGTTTGACTGTGCAAAGTAGGGTGTAAATTAGAGTAAAAGTAATCGATAATTTAGTATTTATGCATAAAAATAATTAGTCGATACTCGATGAATAATCAACATGCTAACATTTAAATTTGCTATCAGATGCCATAATATTCTCACAAGTGCTTGACCATTAACTTTGTAAATGAATAATTAGAATTGAAAGCAGTAAGCAAATAACTTGCTAAAAAAAGGGAAATGGTTCTAGGTTAAAAAATATGAATCATTTCTTCTTGCCCAATACAGCACCAGCGATCGATGATCCCGCCGATCCCGGATTGAAAGATCCGAACCTGAAAATAACTGTGATAAACAAAAAAAATTTTATATCAAAAGTATAGAATTTTTTTTTGACTAAATCGGATTTTCTCTCAGCTTCCATCGCTCAACCTATCACAACAAAACGTCAAACATTCAAGGCGATTACTGCAAAATGAAACTCGCCAAGAATGTTTTCCAGAAAATTAATCTTTACAAATTGATTAAAAGTAAATCTTACCCCCCGTAATCCAATGATTGTGCACCATAATAAGAATATCCCCAACCAAACGATTCTACACCTGCGATTACCAGTAGGACGATCAATAACATCAGTATATCCTTCATGGTTCCCATCCAAATCTAATAAATACCTAAAAATGTCAACATCGAGGCAAAACAGGGAAGAATTTAGTTATTGAAAAATGGTGCGACAAATAAAGTATCACTTGCTACAACTTTTAAAATATTTCGAATAAATAATTAATTGGATAACCTAAAAAG